CGCGCACACGAACGCCCCAAAACAGAGCTGCAGCCGGCAAAAAAGACCACGGCATTCCTTCAATGCCATTAACGTGGCAAGCAGCCGGGCATTGCCGGGGAGTTGGCCACCCACACCCGGCACAAGCACCCCGACGGTGAGAATGTCACGACGCCAAAAATGATGCCACAATGCACGCACGCCACAAAGCTCGAAACACAGCAGGAAGAACGCCAACTCCGCACAGCGACTTTGCCTCTGCAGGCGACTCCCTCCGCCGCGCAGGAGAATGCCGGCGAGGAACAGCGCACCGTGTGCCCAAGGTAGCACGCACACTTCCATTCATCAACGTCCCACTGCCGCCGATTGAATGGCAACAGAGGCGTCATGCTGCCGAGAAGGCGCACGTTGCCCGGCGATGGCACCCCGAGGGGATCACCACCGGTCAAATTTCGCCGTCCAGCATGCGGCTTTTAGTCCCGCAGCAGTCACGGAATGGGCCGGCATAGCACGGCACACCACGGGCATTGACCGGACATCGTGAAATACAGCCAGCGTGAAATGTGTGACGAGACACTTCTGCATCTACTCCGCTGCCCGGCTCTGTGGGCGCACAGACAAAAGCAAGGAGTGGACGCTGGGGAATTGAGGAATCTGTGCTTTACAAAAAAGTTGGCGCAGTTTTCTTCTCGAGGGGGAAAGGCTCTGCCGCCCCCCAAGCAGCACTCCCACGCGGCGAGAAGGCACAAAGCCCCTCGCAGATGCGGCAAATTGCCTTTGCTCCTGGTAGGCTCTTCTTTTTTTCTCTTCATTTACAGACTTCTTTTTCTAATTTATTTGTTTCTTGATTTCTTGGCAGTGACGGATTATTTATTTACTACACTACCCCGAGGGGACGCGTAACGGGTTGTGTTTTACGCCGTGTCCTGCAGCGCCATCTCCAGGGGTTGGGGTTCTCTTCCGCATCTCCAATCAGCATGGCGGACGTGCTCCACGATGGTGGCCGGCGTGAGGGTCTTTGAGGTTATTTAGGAAAAAACAAAGAAAATCAAGAAGTGAATAATAATGAATATACAAATGCCAAAATTGGCGAATATATATAAATACCGATACCCATTTGTTTATCTAGGGATGTATATGTTTGTACTTAATAAAGCAACAAATCAATAAATCAATGAACAAAAAAATTTGTCAATGAGGAAAGGATAGAGGGGTATATTCATATCTAAATAGATATCTATATATTTTAATTATATAGATGTTTCTATACTCATATCTATATCGATACATGTATATATGTACATATACATCAATTGATGTTTATTTTTATATTTATGGTGATATATATGTATATTTCACCTTTTTTATTTGTGGCATTCCAGTTCAGTTGTGTCATTTATTCTTTTCCCGTGGATCTACGCCTACTTTTTTAGGACGTATAGGCATTCCGTCTCGCATCCAGGGTTGCGTATGCACTGAAGCACCCCATCGGACAAAAATTAGCAAGGGGTTTGCGAAGCCCATCTCAATTGAACGTTGATTGCTATCTTTTTTGATCTCCTGAGGAGCCGCAACGCGTGATTCCGTTGCCCCTGCCACCCAACACAATGACAACTTTCAACGAACAGTGCAGGCTTATTGTGCAGTTTTATTGGGGTGTAGTCCACCTCCCTATTTTAGGAATGAACGCACGATGTACCTGTAGAGGATGATGAGGGTCCCTAAAACGAGCCATGGGAAAACATGTACTCCGGGACAATTGTCTGGCGTTGGCCAGAGGAGGTCTTGTGCCGACGGCATCACTGATTGATGGCCAGTGATTTTGGGGCTTCGATCTTTGGTGCTTTAAGGAATGGAACGGCGCTGGCTGACCAGGTGCCACTCGCTATCTGATCTGTCCTGGATGTGGCTTAAGAGACAATGCGGCCGCGTGCAGAGGAGGGAAGGGAAATAGGACATTGTGTGGACATTCAAGTGGACGTGTCAGGGCGTCACAATATCCCTCAAGAAGTGTGGATCCCCCGACTTGATGATTCGACCGTCCTGATAAAACTGTCTGGGGTGGAGGTGAGTGCGCTGACTTCCGTTTTACCGAAATTTCCTCCATCTGACAGACTGCGCAGCTGACGTGGAGGGACATCATGCGCACCTGTTTCCGGCGGGTACGATGCCGTTTCCCACATTTGAGGGCGATTTTCCCGATGATGCACTCCGTCATCCTCATTTGTTTCCCTTGACAACACGACGCCTTGCGGGGTTGGTGCTGAGCGACGAAAGCCCTCCGTCTCGGTTGGAACCAAAACGGAGAGTCCATGAAGAGGCATGCTGCTCGCGACTGGTTGATCCTTTGCCTGTGACGAGTCTGTTTGCCGCCGTGGAGCATCTCTCATTCGCTTGATTGCAGCGCCCTCTACGCGTTGCACAGTTCTTGTGCTCCTGAGTAATGCCGATAAGGGCGGATTGCATGGTGGTGTTTTATTGGTGGAAGGCACTGTGAGGAGGAAAAATATTATTTATTTTTCTTTGTTCCTGAACGAGACGAATCCGTTCTTTGGTTTAAGTACGAATGCCTTGCTGCGGGTTTTTTTGGCCGCTGGGGGCTTTGGTGTTTGTTCCAATCAATGGCTCTCACTGGCGATTCCACGGCCTAATACCGACTGGTGTTGTCGTTTTTTGGCCCTCGTTACTTGGCCCATCAATAAATTGTACAACTGGACAACAAATTTTCTGTCGGCGTGGATCATGTTTTGCAGAATATGATCACAACAGCTGCTGAGCGGGATGGTGGTTGTTGCGTCCTGTATGACTATGGCAATGTTCTTGCGGATTTCACTCTGTTGCGTGTAAGTGATGTTACATCTGTGCCCCTTCGTGTGGTAGAGGCCTGAACCAACGGAGGATAGAGTGTTGTGATGAAACACAGCACAGAGAACCCTTATGTTGCTCATCGTTATGCCCGTTTTCACTGCGGTCCTCGACGTTGGGAAAATTTTATTTTGTGCGGTATGGGGATCACTTATCCGGTGGCATATCGCCGTGTGGTGGTTTCTGGTTCAAAGGACCCTGTGGAATACTTTGTGAGGGCGAAGGGTGATGGCAGGACTGTCATGCCCACACAGACGGAGACGAGAACAGGGTGGTTGATGTGCCCTGTAACACTGCACTCTCGATTGCGTCGTTGGATGCGTGCAGAGCAGGTGGCTCTCCGGTGTCTGTTGGCCTCACAGCCAACCCACTGGTCCCTTCTGAAGGGCATTCAAGAGCATTTTTCCTCTTAGGGGAGTTTCTGCTGGGTGGTCCGCACACTGCAGTGTTTGCTCCATAGGTCTTTTTCTTTGGTGAGAGGATGGTCTGTTGCACTTCTTGGACCCCTGTGGTGAGGGGGAGGTTAATGGGGCAACATGCCCACCGTTTCGGTGTTGCCGCACCGCGCTCTTGTAACCGCGTTACGCAGGAGGCATAATCCCTTGTAGCACGATGAAAGCAACGTCTTTTTTCTTTTTTTTTTTAGCAATGAACGGTCTTTTTTTTATGTTGTTTAGGTGTCTCTGCTGGATAACGAGTCCACAAATGGTTGCGAGGGATGTGCGGCTGCAGGGTTTGAGTGCCGGTTTGTTCTTTTTCTGACGGGCGGTGTTTAGGAATTACAGGCGCTTGCAGATGTCATTGCCGGTGTGAGGGCAGGTGTTTCAGCTGCCCGAAGCGCGGCTGTTGGGAACACGAGTTTCACTCTTGCGGTGGGGGCAGGCAACAAAGGGGCGAATGTGCGTGCTCACTACCCTACTTTCTGTACTGTTTTGCCGCGACGACTGGATCTGATCGCCAACCACGTTAGGCCGTTGCCATGTGGCCGCAGCGTTTTCTCGAGGGGATCGAGAGGCCGCAGGGCACGGCAGTTGCATTCATCCGTGGAAGTGTCACGGGGGGAAGAAATGCGGGCCCCTCGGCATCTAACATTTCGCTGTCTTTTGACGCTATATTCGGTGAGTCCGTGGGTGCTGTCTGGTGCTCCTGCCTTTTACTGGATGATTGAAGCTGCTGAGATGTGGAGGGCATTTGCTTTACCTTTTTTTGGTATCTTTGTCACACGCCGTGTTCGAGATGGTTTTCGATTGCCGAATTGCGTGGGGTGCTACAAGGCAATACTTTGTGCCACGCGATTGTGTGGTGGGAGCCATGCGGTGGGAATATTTGACGCCGTTGAGGCGCCCTTGGAGGGTGGGGGTGGCGATCCTCCGGCGTAGGTGATCACTGACAGGTTCACACGCCCCTTTGAATTTTCTGTCCCTTCTTTGTACTTTAATGAACTGACCGCGGACATTGCAGAATATATTCAGGTGGCTGCGGTGCCCCATACATTCAATGTGTTGTCCTCCGCGCCGTCAACTTCGGCAGTTGACCGACCGGTGTCTTTGAAGGATTTGGGAGGAGGATTTGTTCAATTTGTTCCGTGGCTGGAGTCACTTTTTCCATTCCTGTCGGCTAGGCACGCCCACACCGTTACTTTGCATTCTCTTCCCTCAGTGGGAGGAAAGGGTGATGACGAACCTCGAGAGAAAGTGACCTCTTTTTTTTATTGCTGAGGGATCGGTCAGCGGCAGTTGATGCATCAGCCCTTCCTGAGGGTCGGCGACAGAAACTCTGTGGCTGAGACGATTCGGATGGGAGTTCACGGGGGCAAAATCCGCGCTTTATTTCCGTGCTTATGCCGACGGAATGTAAGTATTTGCCCCTTTTTGTGATCTCTCGGGTGTGTCGTGACTCTCCATTTAGAACACGAGGCGTTATTGTCGGTGCTAGTTTGTCAGACAGCACGGTTCTTTTCGGGTGTGTGATCCGACTGTGTGGTGGGTCGGTTGAAGGAGAGGACGTGGATGGGCCGCGCTTACCCGACTGCTGCGTCTCATTTTTGCTGAACGCC